AAACCATTATACCCTGATTTCCCATTTTCAATGGGTTCAGGGTATAAAAAGAAATGAGGGTCTCTGTCTCTTGCCGAATGCTTATGGGATTTTCTCATCTATATTTAAATATTTCTACATGCCAAATATAAGAGCGAAGCAGAGATATTTGTATATCATACATACAACATTATATCATATATATTCGTTCGTATTCTTTATTGCGAAAGTGAAAGCATTTTCTAACAGTAGTTGATGCTCAGGTTTAGCTAATGAAATAGATGGGTTTAATTGTTTCTATTTTCATTTTGAATTACATTTAATGCGAGAGCCCCGGCCGTCATGCAACCTGTTGCAGACGTAGCGCTCGCTCGTAATCAACATGAAAATCACTTGTGGTACCATAAAACGGATTCACGTCGACTCCCTCCGAGCGTGGCTCCATTTCTAACGCAACGACAATGGGCCACAGCTGTTGGCTGCCCACTGAGCCAGAACCCGAGCTCCAGTCGAAGGCAGTTAAATAGAGGCGGCAGAAGTGGAATGGTAGGGGAAGGGGTGCTCGTTCGGATAGGGGCATACCATCTAGCGCAACTAACAAGCCCATAGAGAGCGTGTGTCGCTGTTGTTGTTGTTGTTGCAGCTGTTCAGTTCTTGTTGGTTTTACCACTTGACCGACCACCAGCTGTTGACCATTTGACCTTTTTGGCAGCCTTTCTCTTTGACCAGGCGCATAGTGTGGCTAGTATGTGTGTGTGAAGTTAACAGCAACGCCCCAAAGCTGTTGCCCACTGCGTGGTGCTTACCCGTTCCGGGTCTCGACTCATCAGCAGCGACATCACCAGTGACTATCTTATAAGATGGATGTTTGCCTCGGCCAGATAGATAGTTATATGGTTGCTATAGCTGTCTCTGGTACTGTAGCTGCCTCTGCTGCCGCTGCTAAGCCTCTGGCCGTAGGGTGCCCCAGCGGTACACATAATTTAATTAAGAAGCAGAGCTCGGGCTGCCTTAAATGGCTATACAGTAAGATTAACAGCTAAGAGCTGAAACGCGTTGCGTTCATTATACATCGGCCAAAAGAGAAAAATCCGAGAAATATATATATATATATATATATATATATATATATATATATGTATAAGATCCGATATACAAAATGACAATATAAAAGACCGAGTGCCAGTCGGCAGTTGCGCATATTAATCAATTAGGCATGATATTAGTGAGGGCATCATTAATTTTGTCAATACGCTTGAGCTATCGAGAAGCGCAGAGAGACGTCCATTCAGTCGATCGCTCTTAATGGTTTTTCCTCTTTGGCTTTATGGCATGCTACCATAGCGCGCGAGTTGTCTGCGGATCTGCGGCAAATGTGTTAAATAGCGTTAAAGTTTGTAAAACAAACGGCACATAATGGGAGACCCCGCTTTAATTTTCAAGTTTAACGGTCATTCAGCATTGCCTTGCGCTGTATATATGCTTATATATTACTCGTATACACATGTGTATATGTGTGGACATTTGACTATTTGGCCACTTAAATTATGGCTTTTAAATAATTATGCAATTAGGAGGCAGCCACGATAGCTGATAGTCGATAGCCGATAGCCCCGAACTGCGAATGAGCCGAATGAAGCGGAGAAGAGAAAAAAACCTGAAAATGCCTGGGACCCACAATTTACCCTCTATTGAGCAAAGATCTTGAAATTTATAATGTTAGCTTATTTGGGAGTAACCAAGAGGAATGTTAATAATATTTGCATAGTTAAGGAAAGTACAAATTTTTGTATAAATAGTACATGTTTTGGTTATTCTAAAAAAATGGTGGCATATATATGTCATTGAATTATACGTCTAGTCTACAAAACGTCAGCCTTGCAGAGCAAACTAGCCAGGGTATAGCCAAACTCAGCCAAAAAACTGCCAAATAAAAAAAGGCTGTCTGCCGAATCCCCGACAGTCGAGTGCGAATTCCCACCAAGTCTAATTGCAGGCTGGGAAGCGTTGCAGCTAAAGTGAACCAGCTACAACTTGATTTATTTAAGCTACTCAAACAGCCCATAAATAAAGCTGTTGAACTAGCCGCACAGAGCACAGCTTGGCTTAGTTGGGGCTGGATGAGGGGCAGAAGCCGGTGCAGGCCTTGGTGGTTTTCTTAGCCCAAGTCTCCCAGCCTGAGACTCCGCGCCTTGGACTGCTCCTCTGCGCGGCTGGCTCGGCACTTGGGGGCATAGGCTTTCAGGTTAAGTAGATGCGGCGACACGCGGGTCGTTGCCAAAGCAAAGGACTTTAAAGACGGGCTGCGGGCTGCGGGCTGTGGGCAGCGGGCAGCGGGCAACATGGGCCCGTACTCTTTGCTCCTCGGAGCAAAGTATTGAATGATATGCAAGATTTGCTCTGTTACCGTTGCTGCACTTCATCGATGCGACTGCTGCTGATTTTGGCATCTCGAGCGATAGACTCTATCCCTCTCTTTCTCTTTGAGAGATGGCAAATCTTTCATAACTGCAGGCAGCGGCCGCTCCTTGACTCTGAATGCAACTCGCGAGAATTCATTTGCCTGGCCCGCACAATGCGATTGCTTTTTAATTATGCCCGAGCTGAGCTGTGCTGAGCTGGTGGTTGTCGGCTGACACCGAGTGGAAGGTACTGGTGATTGGGGACAGGCAACTGGGCACAGGTCCAAGTTCTGGCTGTTTAACATGGCGCGTATGTAACGCGCTTGTCGCTCGGCTCGTTCGCGTTGACTTGGACTCCAGTTGACTGAGTGACTGCCTTTTTGAGGTTATGTGAAAGGTCAAGTTCGTGATCGCATTCAAACATTTTTGCCAACCACTCATCTTGCTGCGCAGATCGGCGCACCAACTGCCTGCTTGCCTGCCCACCAAACGCCTCCAATTCCAACTCAAACCGGGCCCAAGTGAACTCAGCCTAGTCGTGGATACAGCGAGGGGTAAGGTCGGGGTGCGAGTGTGAGCCCGACCCAGAGCTCAAAGACGACGACGACGACGTCGTAGAAAAATTGAAGATGAGCGTGCCACCACCACGCCACGATTCTGCCATTGCCACACTGCCTGCCCCTTATGCCCCACCCAGTCCCCCACCCGCTGCCCTGCTGCCCCGCTGCATCGCTGCCTGTCGCACCAAATTGAGTGAATGTAAACTGTGGTTTACTTGTTTCCAGCGTTGTCATAGTAATTTTTCTGCACTATAACAACGGGCAGCGTCGCCTGCAACTGCTCCCAGCTCCTAGCTCCGGTGGCAGCAGTCACAACGAAAAAAAAAAAAAAACCCGAAAACAGACAAAAAATGGAGATGCTGATGACACTGGAGACACGTTGTCTCTCTGGCAATCGTGCAACTGACACACCAGCAACAGCAACAGCAACAGCAACAGCAAGAGCAACAAAACAAAAACGAAATGTTATAGCAGCATATGCCACACGAACCAAAAATTACACTGGACAACACAGGGTGCGGCTAAGGTATGCGCAGGGCGGGGAGTGTGCAGCAATCTTTAGTTTGCGTTTTTGTTTTCCTTAATTTTGGGTGGGGAATCAGTTGACTCCAATCCATTGCTTTGAGGATGATTTGAATGTCGACTGTTACCTCTGTCGCTGCCGCTGTTCATGTGATTTTTCAGGCACTTTGATTACTTTGCGGATTAGCTGCCTACATGGAGACACAAAAATTTTATTAAAATATCTAAGCTCCCTCCGGATCAGTTAGATGTTTATTTTGTCATTTTATTATTATTAGCAGTGGCTCATGTTAATTTAGTAATTGATATACATACGTATATATGTGGAAATATATTTTGCTGGGAATTGCTATTAATATTTTACTGTCAAATGTAAAATGCAACGAGAATGTATTATCTTTCATTTTAATTTTCAATTCAAAATTTCAGACATATCAAAGAAGACAATCGCAGCAAAGCTAGTTAATGCTATAAGATATTATTTGACTTTTAAAATCGAAATTCTATAAAATACAATGTACATTCAGGCTCATTCAATTTTTGTTTAAATTGACCCCCCATTCCTATATCCACCCCCTCACACTCATATTTGTAAGAGGCGTATTTCAAATACAAGATCCTTGTGATGTGAAT